ACCCCATTGTAAGTAAGTTAGGCTTACCCTACTTTAAGTATAACTTATGTTTAAGTTCATTATCGTTATTATGAACCTATAAACAAGATTTATCAATGATTCAGAGTCGTTATAATGATTGAACTACTTACAGGAGAGGTGTCTAGAATGGTCACGTTGGGCTTGGTTGTTGGATTTCAGAAAAGCTATATGTCGAAATGGTCCTGCCTCCCAACTGTCCTGCCTCGTTGATCCTTACTTGACAGATCATGACATAGACCTTGAGTTAATGTTAAATCTAGACTAATAGTTAGTCACAATAAATATTAGACTAAAATATATTAATAATGATACTAGGTTTCATCGAAGGAACATAAAATTGTCAGAACCGAAGCGCTGGCCGAATTTCGAGTCATCACTTTAACAAGTGAGTACATAGTTACTTTCATCTTACACATATATATGAAGTATTTAATATTAATACATGTTATATGTGCGAAGTATCTGTGTTCCTGCTATCTATGCTAGATGAACAATTTATACATGTTTTATGTGATTTAAACTATATATATGTATTTTATACCTATAAATATATTGGGTAAAGATGGGTAGATGAGCGATGAGAGATAGGTGATGATAGAAAGGTGATGATAACTAGGTGATGATAGATATGAGATGATGAATAGGTGATGTGAGATAAGAGATGATTATGAGATGCCATAACCTTGACTTGCGATGTTGCGATGTAGTCATCTACCGGAGTATAGATTGCGACCACTGAATAATCTAAACAAGTAATGTGGAAACACCGGCAGGCTCATAACCTGTAGGTGATGAATTACAAGTTTAGGAGATGAAGTAACTACGTATTCATGCGATGATACTCTAACCCTTATTGGACACGTATTGGGGGAGTAATCCCCAAAAACAAGTACTGTCTATGCGATGTAGGCGATGATCCTTAGGAAAAGTCCTCACAAACAAAACATATAAGGAAATGTGATGTAAGGCGATGAGAGGTAATACGATATAGGAGATGACCCTTTGGGAAGAATAAATAAAGATAATGGGGATGGATAATCGGGTTAATTGTTTGGCAAGAAGTATGTGAAGAAACAAATTAACTATATTATTGTGGGTTGAAAACGCTATGTACTCACCAGGTTTCCCAACCTGACCCACTCAATTTATTTGAATCACAGGTATCAGTGCGAAGATACATTAAACTGAGAGATTAAAAGAGATGTAAATCATTAGTGTAAATGAATGTAAGGTCTGTTTATGATTATGTGTCTGTATTGATGATGACATCCCAATGTTTTAATATAAATAAAATACATTTCTTCAGAAATGATTTGATAATATCTTTATCATGTTTTGTAGAAACAAATTCTGCAATATTATTCTTTAAAATGGACATTCTGATTTTTGAATAAGCATAAATAAATTTTTTAAAATGACCATGAATTTGGGGACGTCACACACGTAAAGAGAATGCGGTCACTGATGCTCTCAACTGGAAATTAGCTAATGAATCGATTCGGGGGATTTGTTTGTGAATTTTAGTGGTTACCCCGTTGCTTGAGCTGATTGGTAACGCTTAGTAGGTGGTAGTACTTGATGAGAATGCCAAGCATGAGAAGATTTCAGGTGAGATTCTGATTTTTTTCCTGAGATAGTAAAGGTTTATTGACCCGTTATGGACGGGTGTGGGTTCGTCTCATAGGAGGGAGCATGCAAACACTGATGGACAAGGCTCATAAGTCCAAGTTTCCATTCACCCGACGGAAATAAAGATATATCGGGACCTTCGGGAGAATTATTGGTGGGCCTGCATGAATCAAGATGTTTCGAGATACGTATAGGAATGATTAACATACAAGAAGGTCAAGGAAGATCACCAGAGGTCGCATGGTAAATTGCAGCCTTTTGAGATTCCCATTGGAAATGGGAACATATTACTATGAATATGATCACCAAACTCCCAAAAACACCACATGGATTTGATGCGATATGGGTCGTCGTGGATTGATTAACCAAGAGTGCCCACTTTTTGTCCATTCAGTAGAGCCCCTTGGCAAAGAAGATGGAAAATATTTGTGTGAAGGATATTGTCACCAAACGTGGGGTCCCGATTTCAATCGTCTCTGACAGGGACACGTGTTTCAATTCTAGATTTTGAGGGAAGTTTCAGGAGGAGCTAGGTACACAGTTACAGTTTAGTACAACCTTCTGTCCACAGACTAACTGGCAGAGTGAGTGGGAGATCCAGACACTCAAGGATATGCTTCGAGCTTGTGCCATAGATTTTGGTGGCAATTGGGATCAGTATCTTCCGTAAGCAGAGTTTTCTTATAGAAACAACTTTCATTTCAGTATTGGAATACCGCCATTCGAGTTTTTGTATGTTAGTAGGTGCAGCACGCCGGTTTATTAGGGCGAGGTTGGCCACAAAGTATATGGGAGTACGGAGATAGTACATAAGATGAACAAGTTGATTCAGATGGTGAGAGAGAGATTGGTCACATCATGGAGTCGGCAAAAGAAATATGCCAACAAGAGACGATCAGACTTAGAGTTCCAGGTGGGAGACTTTGTTCTACTGAAGGTCTTACCGTGGAAGGGAGTGATATGGTTCCATAAGTGGGCGAAGTTAGGACCCCAATATATACGTACTTATAGAGTTATAGCCCGGGAGGGAAAGGTGACATATCGACTTGAGTTACCAGATAAGTTTAGCTTGATTCATGACACCTTCCATGTGTCTCAATTCAATGTTTAGTACATGAGAAATTTGTAGTCCCTCTGGAGGATATTCAGATTGATGAAAAACTCAATAACGTGGAGAAGCCTTTTGTCGTTTTAAAAAGGAAGACAATATTGAGTTTTTATTAAAAAAAATCATAAACACAAAGACAGCAATAGAAGACTTTAACTTTGAACAAAATAAAACTATTACCACCAAAATATCATTTTGCTAGAACTTAGAAAGATTAAACATAACCAAAGAAGAATAAAGTTAAACAACCTTTGAAGACTGTGGTTTCCTTTTGGCAATTAGGAAGTTGATGAAAATGGCTTTAAGCACCAAGGAAGAAACTTTGTAGGAGTATCCACAACCATTTAGCCAAGTTGATAAGATTCTAGTCTTCATCTTGTAATAAAAGAATCTCTTAAGCCTTTAAGAACAAAACAAAGCTTTTGTTCTAAAGGAAAGTTCAAGTAAAGTATCAAAATTTTCCTACAAACACTTTAAGAGACAAAAACTAGAGACAATATGGAGATGGGAATCCCATAATTTCGCAGTTTTTAGCTAGTAAAAGAATAGATACATACAATCCTTTTAATCATCTTAATCCAAGTCCATACCCATTGAGTCTTGATGCTTTTATACACCATGCATCTAGAAACAAAAGGCTACAAGTATAAGAACATGGATTTATGATTAAATAAATTCAAACATGTCTTTTTTCCCTTTATGGTCTCCTTGAATATTTTATAAAAAGAAGAAGCTAGATTTTCTATAAAAACGCTTCTAATTTTTATAACTTATAGAACATATAAATCCATATAAGACAAAAAAATCCCTTTTGGTCCAAATAGATGTACATGAAATAATAAATCATACCTTATGATATATTATGATATATTTTGATACTTAGCATTGAAAATTAATATTTCCATGAGATAAGTAGTTTCCAATTAATTACAAGATATATTTATTTATCAAAGATCAAATTCTTATAAATAATATATTTGCGTCAAGTTGTTGTTAGTGAGACCCTTTAGGATCATATATTATCTATAAATATCAGTCTATAATAACTCTTGGGCATATAGATCTTTCTGACAAACACTCTATGGATCAAAGAAATCAGGTTGGTGAAGGTGCAATGAAAGCACAAGAACGCATCTGATTGGACCTGGGAGCTGGAGTCAGAGATGAATGTGCATTACCCCAAACTTTTTGCTAGCAACGACTTCAAGGATGAAGTCCGATTCAAGCGGGGGAGAGTTGTAACGCCTCTTTTTCTCGGTACGTGATTATTCCTTCGTTTTTATGCACTAAAAAGCTTTTAGTGCTCCCCCTCCCCCACCAGCTTTCTATAATTGGCAATCAGTCTTCACGTGGCCTATCTGACTGAAATTATAAGAAATTTACATATCCTTCCTACAAGCATGAGCATAGTGACCTATATGACTGCAGTTGAAACAAGTGCCAACTCCCTGGTTCAGACCATCTCTCTTTCTAGGTGTGCTGTTCTTCTAACCTAATCTTGAGTCAGAAGACTTTGATTTCTTCGGCCATAAAGAGATTGGAGTCACTTCCTGGGCCGCCTTCTTCTTCTGGGTCTCGGTCTCGATCTCAATCTCACGCCTCCTCGCTAAACCTATCATGTCATCTAAGGAATGATGCTCTGTAGTACTCATGAACTCCTGTATCTGGGTGTGTAACATGCCCCTATACCTGCTCATCTTCATTTCCTCAGTTGTTGCATACTGAGGACATAGAAATGCTATCTTACTGAATTTCTTCGTTCTCCATAACCTTCTCAGTAGTCGACTCCATCTCCATAACCTTCTTCTTTATCTATGGAAAAACCATTTGTTGCAAAGTTGCAACGAATTTTTTTTATGAAAATACTTTCCGTTGTAATTCTGCTATGGAATTAAATATAGTGATTAATCTACAACGGAATTTTTCAAAGGAATAAAATTCCATAGTTGCTTTGATATGGAAGTGGCATTGATAGCTATTTACCTACGGAATTGGGCTACAAAATTTTATTTATGTTGCTTGTTTGCTATGGAAAAAAAGCCTAGCTAAGTTGTTACGAATTATTTTTTTTGTAAAGTATTTTACATTATAATGCCATATTTTGGAATTTATTTTCTTAAAGTGGGCCTTCCAACATCCATATTCGCAAACCCATAAGCAGAAGAAGAGAAATTAGGGCAAATCGATGTCATCGTTTTCAAGAAGTAACGTGAGATTGTGCTGATATGGAGATCCGGTTGGAATGTGGACTACATGGACGTTTAAGAATCCTAGTCGGAGGTTCATTAGCTGCACAAACTATAACGATGAAGGCAGAAATTATGGGATTGTTCGGCGGATTGACCTACAACTCCCGGACAAGTGGCATAGAGAGAAGATGTATGAATTGAGAGCTCAAGTCAATGGTGAACATGTCATTTTATATGCCCCCCCCCCCCTCGACGCTCCTATCATGTTTCATGTCAATGAAGCACCGCTTCAAGTTGTTATTCAAGATACCGATGAACATGGTAATGGCCATCGAGTTGAAGATTGTCAAGTTGCAATTATCAAGTTCATACTAGCTTGTTTGGTTTATTTCTTTGTTGAGATGTTGTACGCTTAATCTTTTTATTTATGTAATTGAATTATTAAAGACCGGAATGCTAATGGAGGAATTGTTATTATGATCAATGTAATTGGTAACCTATGGTTTGAATGATATGTATTTGAAGCGATAATATATTTTGCTTCTTTTTATGGTTGAAATTTATATATGTCTTTTGTTGTTATGTACTATATTTTATCTTGAATAACTTTATGCCATTCCAAATTAAAGAATATGCATTACAACTTAAAAGTAGATTTCATTGGATATTTAATGAAAATATTGTACATATAAATATTTTAAAACACATGTCTCCTTGTAGTAAATGATTTATATGTACCAAAGGAATGAGAAAACTACATTTAATTCTCTCCAAGGGCTCTAATACATAACATCGGATTTACCAATTTGCATACAAAAACAAAATATTATACAATGTAACCATCCTTAAGGAAACAATCTAAGATTTACTCAATATCTTCTTCCTCCTCCTTATTTTCCTCCTCTTCTTCTTCATTGTTCGATGTACTATACTAATAACTACCCTCGTTGTCAGGAATACCATCATTGTCATCATCATGAAAATCACATTCTTCATCAATGCAATTTTCATCATCTGAATCGTTGCTAAACATGTCCTGATCATTATAGTCATCTATATTTGTAAATGGTGTAATGATTTCATTTGATACAGTTTCATCCTCTTGGAAAGCAACATCTTATTGACTATCATTTCCACATACATCATTCCAACTATGAAATTTATCTTTCAATACAACCAACCAGTCGGATTTGTTTTTTTTCAAACTTGGGAAAGGAACTTAAGACACCTGAGTGGCTAGCATGGCTAAAACAAATGAGTTAAACTTGTTGTATTTCCTTTTTACATTTATTTCGAGCAAGTTATATTATTTGGAAACCTTAAGTCCTATGTTAGGTGTTGGATCGTACCAATGACATTTAAACAAAACTATGCTTTTCCTTGAGTAACCAGGGTACTCAACTTCTAAAATTTCCACTACCTGACCATAATAGTCACATTCTTGGCTACTAATACACAAACCGCTATTCACTGTTGATTTTTTCCGACCATAAGCTTCTGTGTGAAACTTGTAACCATTGACAAAGTATACATTATATAATTTGAATGTCCTCAATGAAATTCTGGAAATGTCAAATATATACTTGTTCTTTATCTTATTATTACATGCCTATATGAAAAATGGTGAAACACTTATTATAACCATATATAACAAACAATAAAAATAAAAATAAAAAAATTAGCACCCACATAGTTTTGAAACCATGCTACAAAGTTCTTCTCCACTTCAGTTGCAAGCTCATGTTGATCCATATCCCCATAAATATCTTTCAAATGGTCTTCAAATATATTATAGTACCATTTAAATTACATTTTCAAAGTTACTATGATGTAGTTATTAAAAAAAAATCCATGTTAATGTTATTTGGAGCAATTAAACAACAAATGAATATAGTATCTTAAAAATGGAAGTATATATTACCCTATGTAAGGTTTGATCCTATCTTCATTAAGGAGTATGTAAGAATTAGCAGCATTGAATTCCTCATCAGGAAACATTCTGGTCTTCAATTTTCCATAATGAAGATCATGATATGAAAATATATCTAAAGTTTCGTTGTCATCATCATCAGATTGCTCATCTATTCCATCATTATTTCGAGGCACCTTTCTGTTATGTATGGGTACACCACTTTCAAAATAATGAGAGCAAAATATCGATGCTTCACGAAGCAAGTACGCGTTCACAATGGACCCTTCCACTTGAGATTTATTTTTCATATCTTTTTTCAACTTGTTGAGATATCTATAGTTAAATGGATGTAAATTAAGTTAGAGTTACGACTTATAAAAATTATAACATAAATTTTGAAGTAACAGACAAACCTTTCAAATAGATATATCCAACGGTATTGGACGGGACCGGCTATTTTAGCTTCACATGACAAATGTACGGGTAAATGTTTCATGGAGTTAAATATACCAGGGATAAAGATGGTCTCTAATTTACATAGAATTATTGGGATCTCGCTTTAATGATTTACATGTCTTGTGTAGTGATTGATGTTGTAGTTAATGTTTTGAAGAAAAGACTCAACTCCATTAATGCTTCCCACAATATCTTGGCGATATCTCACAAAATGCAATTGGCATCAATTTTTGCATAAAAACATGAAAATCGTGGCTTTTTATTTCAGAACAGTGTACACGCGGTCAAAACAACACACCTTCCCAAATTAGAAACATAGCCATCGAGGAAACGTAATTTCTCCACCCATTCGCATATAGCCTTCTTTTGGCAATTAGGAAATTGATGAAGATGGCTTTAAGCTCCAAGGAACAAGCTCTCTAGAAAAATCCACAACCATTTAGCCAAGTTGATAAGATTCTAGTCTTCATCTTGTAATAAAAGAATCTCTTAAGATTTTAAGAACAAAAAAAAGCTTATGTTCTAAAGGGGAGTTCAAGTAAAGTATCAAACTATTCATACTTTGATCTGATCACTTTAAGATATAAAAACTAGAGAGAATATGGAGATGGGAATCCCACAATTTTGTGGGTTTTGGCTAGTAAAAGAAGAGATACATGCAAGCCATTTAATCATCTTAATCCAAGTCCTTCCTATTGAGTCTTGATGCTTTAATACACCATGCATCTATAAACAAAAGGCTACAAGTATAATAACATGGATTTATGATTAAATAAATGCAAGAATGTCTTCTTTTCCCTTTATGGTCTCCTTGAGTATTTTATAAAAAAAAAGTTAGATTTTCTATAAAAACTCTTCTAATTTTTATAACTTATAAAACATATAAATCCATATAAGACAAACACCCCGTTTAGTCTAAAAAGATGAACATGACATAATAGATCTTACCTTATGATATATTTTGATACTTAAAATTGAAAATTAATTTTTCCATGAAATAAATAATTTCCAATTAATTACAAGATTTATATTTATTTATCTAGGATCAAATTCTTATAAATAATATATTTGCATCAAGTTGTTGTTAGTGTGATCCTTTAGGATCATATACTATGTAGCAATATTATTCGATAATGACTCTTGGGCATATAGATCTTTCAGAAAAAGACTCTACGGAAGAAAGAAATCGGGTTGGTGAAGGTGCAGTGGAAGCATAAGAAGGCATACAAATAGACCTGGGAGCCGGAGTAAGAGATGCAAGCGTACTACCCCGAGCTTTTTTCCAACATCAACTTCAAGGACGAAGTCTGATTTCAAGAAGGGGAGAGTTCTAACGCCTCGATTTCTCGATACGTGATTATTCCTTTGTTTTTATGCATTGAGAAGCTTTCGGTGCCCCCTGCCCCACCAGCCATCAGTAATTGGCAATCAGTCTTCACGTTGCCTATTGGACTACAATTATAACTGTCACAACTGGCAAAAATTAGATTAAGATGTGAATTCCTAAACAATGTAATCTCCTTATATAAGCCCAAAACTCTATCCAATAAGCCAAGCCCAATCATTTTTGGGCTTTAACCTATAAATTCTCAACCTAATACCCTTATTGGACCAAGACTTCCTTATTGGGCCCTATTGGGCCGATAACTTCTTCAATTGGTCTTTTTGGGCCGAAAACATTTATTAGACCTTATATTGGGCCGAAAACCCTTCCTTGGGCTCTAATGGGCCGAAAACTTCTTAATGAACCAAGAACTCTTTTAGGCCAAGCCCAAAACTCGAAACCAATCCTTTTTGGGCCATCATTTTGGGCCGAGAAACCTCTTGGGCCGGTTGGGCCTTTAAAAAAAAGAGAGAAATGTAATGGATAAAGGAGATGACACCTCAATAATACACCACAAATAACTAAGCTAATATCCTACATACATCCATGCATTAGCTTTTAGCCAACATACTTCAAGGATTAATCTCTTCTCTCTCTCTCCCTCTTAATTCGGCCAAAGCCTTTCCCCTCTCTCCACAATTCATTTTTCAACATAACTCTCATTTCATTCCTCTCTCAAGACTCCCTTATCCTCTCAAGCATTTTCCTCCTTATCCTCTCTCAAGCAATTTCGAGTTTTTCATCATCAAGGAGAGATTTCTAAGATCCTAGGTAAGTCTATGATTAACTCCATTGTTTTGTTTCAAGTTTTTACAAAGATCCTTCCTCTTACAACTCCATTTTTCGTGATTATGCTCTTAGAACACCAAAACAACCCAAATCTCATCAACAACTCAATCTAGGTTCAAAGATTCTTCTTCTTCTTCATCTACATCTCAAAAACCCCCAAGGTGAGCTTCATACCCCCTTGTTTTCGGTTTTATAATGTTTTTGGGGGAGAATACAAGTGCTTTTGTGTTAGATCTATGTATATATGCATGTTTATGTGTTTAACTTTTAGATCTTTACTTGAAAATGAAGTTGATCACTTGGATCTTCATATAAACCTTGAGAAAAGTATTTGTCCTCACATATAATACTTGTAAAATTGTAGATCTGGGATTTATCCACTTAAAATAGCAAAAACAAGTGTTGTGAACAAACTTAGATAACTTAAACTCAAAAATTAGCCCTTGTTAGAAACGTTTTAGTCCAATCTCGAACTGTTTTGACCTCCTTAATGGTAATATTTTTCAAAACTGTTTTACATGCAAAAAGTTCAGGTTATTACCTTTAAAATGACTACTCTCACGTTTTCATACGAATTTTCTACTATTTTGGCGAATTTTACAAAACTGCCTATCAGATTTGAAATAATTTCGGACCAACCTGTGAAGGTGAGCAATTTCACACTTGTTAGAGGCCAATAAAAATTATGAGAAAAATGTTGAACAAAGTAGACAAAATTTCCAAACTTCCAGAATTTACGGATCCAAATTTCGACTTACGATGATTTTTCTACAAATTTTCCAACAACTAGGTCAGAAAAGCCAAAAACTAGAAAAATGTGTATTTCACAAAAATCAAGCCAAAAAATGATATTTTTGACAAAAATGAGTTTAAAA